CTGCCTGTACACCACAAGTGAACGCAAAAGCAAGCCCTAACCTTTCAAATCTCTCTCATCAGTGCTGGTGGTTTTCTTACCTTGTCTCCACTTTTGCCACCTTGTACAAGCTTTCTTGGAGTCATAGCAGAACAAGGGCCAGGGGAGTTTCAGAGAAATTGTTTGTGCCACAGTGATTTCTTTAGGTATTCTCCATCCCCCCCCCCCATTCTGTCTTGACTCCAAAAAGATTCTTAGAAGCTGGTAAAAAAGAGGAGGAGGAGGAGGAGGAGAAGGAGGAGAAATAAGCCTGCTTTAAGGACGGCAAGTCGCACGTTGGCACCTGCCTCTTCCTTCTCCAGTGGAATGTATAAAGGGAAGCACGTGGAAGTGCTGCATCTTGCAGAGCAGGATGGATGGAAGGAAGCCTCTTTCTTCAGAGCTGGGCAAAATCATGGAGCATCTCTTGCAAAGCGGATGGGTTTCTGGATGAAACTATGAGCCAGCCCTTAGTCAGTCATACAGATACCAAGACAGCCCTATGAAACATTGATATATGGATCCTCAATAGCGCAGTGCTCCAAGAATGTAAATAGTGTGAGGTTTGGCAGGGGAGAAGGAATATTTCTAGCCCGCCTCCAGCTGACAGACTGGATTTGAGATTTGGCTTTCGAAACAAGACTTGGACCTCTTGGAATATTTCATCAGTTAGCACCTGTAATCAGAATCATATCATGCCTTTTAAAGTTTCTCAGATATAAATTAGTTTATGCTGATTCTTTTCTTTTCTGGAGTTCAGTTCTTGATTGACTAATCCTCAGTTTTTGTGTTTTGGTTAAAGAAATGAATGACACCATTTTCTGTTCAGAAACAATATTGTAGATACTGGGAACTCTAGCCTGAGGCCTGCATCTGAGCCACCAGCTTAGCCACTTTAGCCTGTGACATTTTCAGCCTGGCCACGTTCTCTTTCAGCCATGCCCCTTTTGCAAAGCATTCTTGCCATTGCAGGAGACTTAGTTTCATCTTTCATTGTCAGATTGCTTGCATGTCTCTCTGTGCCACGAGAGGAGAACTGAGGGTAGGTGATGGGTAGGCAAGAAAGGACTGAAGCTGTGTATGACTGGGAAATCTGAAGAGTGTATAAGACTGTAATAGGAAAGAGGGGAAATAGAAAGAGTGGGAGAGAGAGAAGCTGGGGGAGAGAAGGAGAGAGTGAAGAAAGGATGAAAAACTAGAGAAGAAAGAGGCAAAGAAAGAAGGAGAAGAAAATGGAGGGAGGGGATAAGAGGGAAAAGGAGTGGGGAGATGTGTTGCAGAGTATTGAATTTTTGGTTTAAAATCTCCTCTTGATACATAGCAAAAGTACAGAGATTCAGAAAAGTAAATGAACTTATTTTTGTGAATCTTTGTAGTTCTGCTATGTATCAAGAGGAGATTTTCAAACCAAAAATTCAATACTCTGCAACACATCTCCCCACTCCTTTTCCCTCTTATCCCTTCCCTCCATTTTCTTCGGATAGTCCACCTCTTTTTCATTAACTGGCCCTTACAGTCTCAGTAACTTACTTAGAGACATAAGTAGTAGAAAGAAGAGAAATATTTAATTACTTACAGTTGGAAACAGATAACAGCAAAAACTAACAACCAAACTGACTGACTTCAACAGAGAGAGGAAATGCAACATGCAGCAGAGCAACTGGGCTCTCTTTAAATTCAGAGGTAGGGAATGAATAATTGGTGAGTGCTGGATAGATTGACAGTCACAACAGCCCAGAAAAGCCCCTCCCAGCCAAACAAACTACAGACAGCATGTAAAGCTGTAAAAACTCCAACAAGATTTTGCAGGAGAAAAGGTTCCTTTGGGCATGCCCACCTCTGGCATATGGCCTTGGAGTTAAAAATGTTAAAAATCAATGAAGACTTTGGGATTAATAACATTTCCTATGCTTTCAGTAAGTCAATTATGCACAAATGGTTCCAAAATATGTATGTGTGCTTTCCTCTCTCTCTCCATATACACTTTAATTTTTTTACACAGCAGTTTGTAAGAGAAGTGCTGCTGTGTTCTGTGTTTAGAATGAGAGAGGCAGGTGTAGGTATCCATATGAAATAACTCCATCAAAGTGACAGTACAAAAAACATTCCTACATGTGTTACAGATTGCTTGGAACTTGGATAAGACCTCTGGGGAAAAATATTTTGTGCTGCAGTCCAAGATGTTGTTTAGTCGTTAAGTTGTGTCCGACTCTTTGTGACCCCATGGACCAGAGCATGCCAGGCCCTCCTGTCTTCCACTGCCTCCCGGAGTTGGGACAAATTCATGTTGGTTGCTTCGATGACACTATCCAACCATCTTGTCCTCTGTCGTCCCCTTCTCCTCTTGCCTTCACACTTTCCTAACATCAGGGTCTTTTCCAGGGAGTCTTCTCTTCTCATGAGATGGCCAAAGTACTGGAGCCTCAGCTTTAGGATCTGTCCTTCTAGTGAGCAGTCAGGTTCGATTTCCTTCAAAATGGATAGGTTTGTTCTCTTTGCAGTCCAGGGGAGATAATCTTGCAGTTCAAGATAATCTTGTGTATTTTTAATATAAGTATGCACATGTACCAAAATAAGTGGTTATTTTGGAGATAAAATGTTAACTGGTCTCTCTTTATATCCTTCTCCACCCCTCACTACTCCCTTGTTACTTCCTTCCTCCAGTCTCAAGTGACTGAACCAAAAAGTTGGACCTGAGTATGTATAGTTTTGTGCAATGCAGATTTAATTTACATTTAATTATATGTGGTTGACACTGAAATGGATCTTCACATGTAAAATTGTGTATGTGATGCTGCACTCCTTGCATAGTGGGCAGTATAGTTTGCTTGTACCCTGTGTAGGAAAAGAATAACCAAGTGGGGAAGGACTAAATATCTAGCATGGTAATTTTACAGGTTTAGTGATGCTTATTTTCAAATTGGAGGAAACATCACTGCATGGAGGAATAAGTATTGTTACATTGATCTGTCCATAGCTCCAGTATTCTTATCTTCTAGAAAACTGAAACTCAAGGTTTCTTTCCTTTGGTTGCTGTGCTGTAGAAGTATGTTCTTGATGGCAGTATGAAGATACAGGGGACAGTCACTTCTCAGTTAAGTCTGAGACACCACTGTGTTGAAAAGCCTCTGATACAATCATGGATATATAGAGAATTCTATGAAAAGAGGTGAGGTGGGGTGGGAGGGCCTCTAGGAAAACAGTTTATAGTAGTTCACATTTTAACATGAATAAGTCATCTTTGCTATAAAATGTAACTGTAATTGGGAACTTTTCCCAGAAGAACCGGTACTGTTTCTCTCTTCCTGTCTTCATTGCAAATGACTGAGAATGTTTTTGGCTTTGGTTGGTATGTAGCAGCATTCTTAAATCTGTCTGTGTTTTTCCCCCTTGAATATAAACAGATTTCTCTTTAAATGTATCTTGCTAATTGTATTTTTTTTCCTCGACTGATCTAAGACAGTGAAAGTACAACCTTCCAGGTGTTATTGGGCTATAATTTCCAGTGTTTCTCACCATGGCTATGATGGTTAGGACTGATGGGAGGTGTACGTAACCCAACAAGATGGGTTATCCCAGTCTGAACTTTCCAACTCAGCAAATAAGTTTGAGGGAGATGTTTAATTAGCATTATGCTTTAAATGGAAATGTTATTGCCATTTTTGCAGTTGGATGCTCACAGGAAGTGAAATAAACAAATAAACAAAAAGTTATAGCAGGTACATCAGGTCCGACGTTCCACCTGCTTTGTGCTAATGAGTCATAGCTTCTTGAGTTGATAAACATTATTAGAAGCAGGTATTGTTTGCTTCGCATGGAATATGTTGTGTCTGCTTTGAGGACACAAGAATAAATGTTTGCAGACCAGATTCCCTAACCAACCTAAGTCTTGCTGATAGTGAGACAGCCCTGACTTTATAAAACAAAGTGAACCTGAGACATAAAGGAAATCCAAATGGGCGTATGCCCAAGGGTTTCATGGACAGATGGACATCATCATCTGCCACGAGTGCTGGAGTCTTAGCTGCAGGTCAGCCCAACCAAACCAAACCAACACAGTAATATAACATTCTCTCAACTGCTTGCACAGTTCTGGGTCTCCTCTGGACCAAGTTCATACCAGCTCTTAGGTTCAACTATCTCCTTATGTCTGTAAAGCCGTTGGGTTGTGCATGTTGTTGGAAGTTGAAGCCTCCAAAGTCTTAACTGGGTCGTGCATGTTGTTGGAAGTTGAAGCCTCCAAATTCTCAGATCTTCTGCTTCAATGCATCAGAGGTGTTCAAACTGTCTCTTCTTTCTCCACCTCTGTAGTTGTGTTGTAGGAGTCTTTGGCACAGGATCAATGGGAGGATAGTTTCACCTCTCTTGTGCAATGGCATCCATTGGTCAGCTGAAGCATGAGCGTGTAGGCCTTCTTTCAATTGGGGCCAATTTGGAGCCTCCACCCAGGTCTCTTCATCCTCTGCCTCAGCCTCTGCCTCTACAGTCTTCTGCCAACATTTATCCTCATGTCCGGTCTTCTGCCCCTCATGCTCATGCTCCTAATCCTTTATACTGTTGCAGCCCCCTCTTTCCTTCCAAATTCTCCTGACCCTTGCATTCCACCCTATCCTGCTGCACCTTGAGTTCCGAGAGTCTCAATGCTTCCTGAACCTTGCCCTCTAGATTCTCAAGGCAAGCTCCTCCTAATTACTTCTGCTTCTTTCCCTCCATGATTGATCCTGTGTGTGTTGGCACTGCTGTCTGTTGTGCTACGATCCACCATCAGTAAGGTGGCCCAAGGGTTGACTGGTATAGAAGGCATGATGGTTGGCCGAATACTAGGTGTCTCTAGGCCCCTGTGTTCTGAGGGATGTAGTTCAGCAACATGGATGTCTCTGTCACATGCCTACTTCATGGCTTCAGAATGTTTATGTTGTTTTATGTCCTTAGTTATAGCAGTGTCTTCTTGGTGATGTGCCTCTTCTTTTTTCCTTAAACAGCATGGGGCCAAGGCAACTATCTGATACCTACTGTTGTATTATCAAAGGACAACCATGGTTGTACAGGTAGGAAATGATTACTTTACATTTGGGGATGATGCCCTTTTCCTAATATTTTAAACAAAATCTCCCTGTTGAGGCCACATTGCATTTTATAAAAGTTTGGCATAGAAGACATACTGTTTTATATGCACAAAATACAAGCCGCCTGAGTTCACTCATTACATAGGAAAGTCAACAGATAGGTTACTAGTTATTTTCCACCCAGCAGTTGCTTCCATGTGAAATTTTGTAACATAGCCAAATATCTGCACAAAATCCATCATAGGGATTGTGGAGGCATAACAACTAATGGAGGCAAATTAACGAGGTGCCAGTTACTCACCTGGTCAGGTATGTGATGGGAACCACATTGACTCAATTAATTGCCACAACTTATGTGATTGCACTAGCATATGTGGGGAGAAAATAGGATTTTGCCTTGTGTTTTTTTCCTTGCTTTTTTTCTCTTGATATAGTAGTTGGAGTTTTTCTTCTTTTAATTCATTAAATTATATTTGTACACTACACTGGTATTGATATGGAAGAAGAGTGGTTTAGAAATGTTTGTCAGGATTTTATGGGTTAATTACACTGGTGTAAGTGCAGTGGTGTAAACTGCAGTGGCAAATTGCCCCTTGTTTATATGTTGCCTTTTGTATCCCTTGTTGCAAACCAACTCACTTGAGAAGCATGAAGTGAGGGTTAAAAGTGTCAGCTTGCCAACTAAAGGCAATTTGGCACTGCAGTTTGTGACACTGCGATGATGCTGACCAGTATGACTAACCAGTATACTCTTGCCATTAGAATAAATAAACAAGTAGATTTAATGAAGAATGGTTTAGGAATATTATACTAAATGGAAATTGGCCTGTACATCTTCATAAATGTAAGCTTGTTATGAAAGTTTTATCTGGCTGGATAGCTCAGTGGTTGCAGTATCTGTCTGTGGAGTCAGAGGTTGGGACTTTGATTCCCACTTATGCCTCCTGCAGGTAGAGGCAGCCGGTGTGGCCTTGGGCAAGTGGCACAGTCCCAGGGCATCCTCCTCAGAAGGGAATGGTAAACTACTTCTTTTCTACCAAGAAAACCCTGGAATTGAAAGCACACAATTCTTCTTATTCGGAAGGTTTTAATAACAGTTTTCATGGAGCAAAGAGTGGCTCATAAAGATGAAAATATTAGGCCAAAGGAAGTTGGTAGCACTGTGTTACATTACTTTGAAACAACTGCATTGTTTTTAAAGGAACATCTGATAATTATTCCACCTTTGTTCACCCTCACAGAGTTTATGGTATATATGCTTCAAAAACAAATTTCTGTTTTTAAAACAGTTTGGTGTAAAGTAATTTTTCTATATATTATAGTAGATCTCAAGATAGCACCTCTGGCTCCTTGTTTTTTAAATGTAGGAGCAGGGAGGATAAACTGCATTTTCTTTTACGAAAGCACAGTGCATTCATGATCTACCAGCAACTAACACATGGGCAGGAATGCTTTCTTTAAGAGGGTTATCATCAGCTTTTGCTGAACTCTTTCATTCTAGAGGCTCAGATGCTGAGAAAAGCTGGTGTTGAAAGAGACAGACAGCATTACAAAGGCATAAACATTCCACAAGTAAACTTGCAAAAAGCAGATCCAGCTGGTGGTAGAGGACAGTAATTCAGTGTTGTGTTGATCCTGCTTTGTTGGCAGAAAACGTCTGGGCAGCAAAGTTCACACAGCTGGATAAATGTTGCACTCTGTAGTTTCTTTTTCCACTTGGACTGTAATGGAGGTGTCGGGCATATAATCCAACCTGAACACAAGGCCAAGATGTGTTTCCATTCTTTTTGCATCTGTCCTTATTTCCCCTGTTCTCTGCTTACCCATTCAAATGGAGAATACTGAAACAAGTCAGAACTTTAGACTTAGATGCATTCAGCAGATTATGCAGAAAAACCACATTATTACACATCATATGAAGAAAATGTGAGAATGTGGGATATTGTTGAAGTGCTTCCTCCTGGAAGAATAGTTTGAAGAGGAAATTGTATTGAGTCCCACTGTGGCATATTTTATTTTATGTTTTTGTTTTTAAATAAAAGAATCCTGTTTGTATTCTATCATTGCTTGAAAAGTTCGATGCCCCAAAGTGGCCTCTGAAAATACAGAAAGGAAATACAGGAAAGTTCTGTCACAGGTTGTCATTATTACAGTCTTAAATGGACTTTGTCTTCCTTTCTCTTTTGTCAAGTAAATGAGAGTTTAATTCTGTTTAAAATTAAATTAATTCATAAATGTAATCTGTGTGTTCAGTTGAAAGAGCAATATAAAACTATTTTCCTTTTCACGAGGAGAGTTATAAAAACCACAAATGACTTATCTATTAAACTCATGCAAGCACTCCATAAAAGGATAAACCATGTTCTAAAGGAATCTTCTCCAGTCTGGTGCTCTCTAGAAATTTGGGATGATAAGTCCCATCAGCTATAGCCAGCTATAGGGTGTATTCAGGATGATGATATAGCACAAGACATCTAAAAAGTTCCATTTTAGGAAAGACTGTCCTAATGTTATTCTTTAAAATAGTCACACTCAAACACAGTCAGCAAAGCACACTGTCTGAAACCTAATCACCTGGAAGATAGTCACCTCTAATGTTATAATCTCCATATTTCAAGGGTGTCTTAGGAGTGTGTTCATGCAACTATGGCTAGTGTTAGAAATGCACCGATTACTTGAGATGACTGATATGGCCACGGTGACACATGCATATCTTGCTTGGAGTACTGCAATGTACTCTATATAAGCTTGTTGCTTGGTTTTGGTTTCTTCGTTTTGTTTTGTTTTGAAATTCAGAATTGACCTGTATAAATGGTTTTTGCTATGCTATTGGCATGCTCATACTTGTATAAAAGGGATGACATGGAATGTTAAAGCTATTTGTATCCATGGGCAGTGTCTAGCACTGTCATTTCACCGATAAAACATCTTCCATCAGTGGAAATGGTTCCCCTTCCATCTTGCAGTGCATCCTCCAAGATTCCTCCATAGAATCAGAAATTTCTCCAAATAAGGTACAGTACTGTATTCTGGTGGCACAGATGGCTGTAGGGGAAAAGTGAGGGGGTGGCAAAACCCTGCTACATCATCAGATGTCTGCTAGGGTTATATCTACATTTGGAAGATCTTATCTGAATTGTTACATGAAATCTTTTTTGCACTTGTGGATATGTCTTATAGAAAAGTGTAAGCCCAGTTCTGGTACATCTTATAAAAACTGGTTTCTCAGTAGACCTCCCCCATGAGACTTCAGTAACTATGCTATACTGTGGGTAGTGTACAAAGAGTGTGTATCACACGTGCACAGTTATCACCAATTTTGTTCATACTCTCTCTATAGAAATCTCACCCCAAAGTTGTTCTTAGAGACAGGAGGACACTATAGAAAAGCATTTGATGCAAATAAAAAAGAACTACCGTATTTTTCACTCCATAAGACGCACCAATTTTTAAAGAGAAGAAAACAGGAAAATATAATCTGTTTTCTTCGCTCCATAAGTGTGAAGGAGAGACAAGGAGTGCGCCGTCCTCCGCAAAGGAAACCACCACAGAAGAGAAAGGATGTATAGAAGGGGTATTGATTGAGATAGAACAGGCTGATGTAGTAGAGAAGAGATCTGCTGAGGTGTGTCTTGCGGAGGAGATAAAGGAGGAAAAAAGCATGCGCGTCTTTAATGTTTGGACAGATACGAATCTGGAGAGACTGGTGAACCGAGGGGTGCAGACGGAGCCCATGCTCGGATTAGGGATAGTGTCTGGAGTTACCGCGGGTTTTCCAAACTTAGTAACAGGAGGAGGTCTGCTCCCGGATCCTATTTTCCCTGGAGGGAGAGGAGCTAAGTACGAGCCTTTAGAATGGACTGTAACGGTCCACCCACGGAATCACCCTGGTGGGAGGAGAGTAATCAGACCTGGGCCGGAATTTCAACAGAAGCCCCCCGAGGGAGATTGGGCGAGGTACCCATGCTGTGGCACGGTATGCGCAGTGCGGAGTGCCCCCCTCCGTCCCATGACGGATAGGGAACAGTTCGGACCGGCACCTTACTAGAAGGTTTCGAGAATCCATTAAATGTGCGCCCTAAGAAATATCATTTGTTGCCTGAAGAGTGTTTGCAAGATCCTTTTGATTCTGACGCGCCTAGAAGGTTTTGAGAATCCATTAAGTGTGCGCCCTAAGAAATATCATTTGGTGCCTGAAGAGCGTTTGCAAAATCCTTTTGATTCTGATGCATTGAGTTCAATTGTTAATAAATGCGATACTGTTGAAAGTTATGAAGAACCTCCGTGGAGTTCAATTGTTAATAAACACGGTACTGTTGAAAGTTATGAAGAACCTCCGTGTCTTTTTCCCGCCTTCACCACCAGTGCCCCCCCCGGGTCCAGAAGAACTCAGTGACAAAGACGCACAGACTTTCCACCCCCCTGTTTTGTGGGGAAACGTGCGTCTTATGGTGCAAAAAATACGGTAACTTTTTATGCATATGTAAAAGCTATTATCATTGACATAACTTTTTCTAGATCTCCCCAAGAGATGTGAAAATTTGTTTTGCTTTTCTCCTATACAGTATTTGAATTTCCTAAGTCTCAGGGCTCTTCCCTCCATCATGAATATGAAGAAATTTCCAAACTTCAGTAAATTTTTTGGAAACAGACAAAAGCAAACATTTTCCTCAAGTAGAGTGGCCACATTCAAAGGTAGTTGTTCCCAACTTGGAAGAGGAGCTTCTCAGCAAAAGAAGACAATTCTATACCAACAAAATTTAATATACAGGAATTCAGATCTGGGCTTCTCAGCATTAAGCTCTGAAAGCCCTCAATGAAAAAGGAGTAAGCTTTGGTATCTCTTGCATTTAGCAAGACACTAAAAATGTTGTTATTTCCATCCCAAATATAAAGAAGTTTGCTAGTTTGGGGAAATTATTTGGCAAATGGTAAAGGAAATGAAAGGAAAGAAAGCTTCTCTCATGCCTAATTCTAGCTAT